ACCTTCGTCGTTGACATATTCCTCCTGTGTAAAACGTCTCCCGACGGTATCGAGTTTCGAGCGAGGCGCCACAAAAAGACCTTTATCTCGCTCGGCACTGCAACCTTCCAGATTGCCTTCCATTCTTTGCTTTGTCCCTCACTGGTAGATGTTGTTTCTGCCTCATCCAGCCATCCTTCCCTATCATGTTTTGTTCGAACTAACATTCGGTATGCAAACCCGACCGAAAAGTTACCCCGAGGTTCTTCCCCCCAGGACCAGAAATCATCAACGCGTCTTGTACACAACGGTATCTGCATTATTGCTTCGGCATCAAACTCCGTAAACACGGCCCGGATCATCTCCTCCTTCCATGAAGCCGAAGTTGGTTCAATTAGTTCGGATACCAATCGTGGCGGGGCAGCCACTCTAGCTGCAATCGGTCTCTTGTAGCTTGCTCTAGGGATCCAATTATGGTCCCAGATTCCTGTTGAAGCACCATCCCCTATCCTTCTAATCACTCCTTGCGCCATCACATCCCTTCCATCTAAGATTGCTCTCCAAATATGTGACGGATGTGACCCCAACTCAGCTTCAAAAAGTGTTACCTCCGGGAAGTAAACGGCCTTCAGAAGCCTTGCACTCAGAGATTCCGTGTCATTTAGAAGCCTCCATGCCTGTCGAGCCAACAAAGCTAGGTTAAAGAGCTCCATGTCCCGAAACCCCATACCTCCCATATGTTTTGGATTTGTCACAAGAAACCCAGGCCGGCTTGCGTTTCCCCCTTCTGCTTCCCCACCAGAATTGGCGAATGATGGATGTAATATTGTCACAAAGTCCCCTGGGTAGCCTGAAACAAGCCATAGAGAATACTGGAATAGCTTGTGCCACAGATTTAATAAGGATCTCCTTCCCCGCCGCAGATAACAACTTCTGCATCCAGCCTTTCACTTTCTCCCAAATTCTATCACGCAAATGTTTGAATGTACCATTCTTCGACTGGCCGACATCTGTTGGCATACCAAGATAGCGTTCATTAAGCGATTCATTATGGACATTCAGACGATCCTTGACTCCATCTCTAAGATTCTGTGGGCACCCTTTACTGAAAAAATTTGATGATTTCTCGGTATTGATTCTCTGACCCGAAGCATTACAATAAATGGTGAGCAGGTTTGATACTCTTTCTGCAACCTCAGAGCTAGCTTTGAAAAGCAACAGGCTGTCATCTGCGAAAAGAAGGTGGTTAACGGCAGGAGCCGTTGGCGCCACTCTAATACCTGCGAGTGTAGATGACTGTGAACTGGATTTCAGGAGGCACGAAAGGCCCTCTGCTGCAATCAAAAATAGGTAAGGTGAGATAGGATCTCCCTGCCGAATTCCTCGTGATGGATAAAAACGCTCGAGTCTTTCTCCATTAAACAAAACTGAGAAGGAGACTGAAGAAACCATAGCCATGACTGTGTCAATCCAACTTGGTGCAAAACCCAACTTCTCCATCATGGCTCTCAAATAGGTCCACTCTAGCCTGTCATAGGCTTTCATCATATCCAACTTCAAAGCACAAAAGCTATTGTTTTTGGACCTGCTTCTCTTCATAAAATGCAGACATTCGTAGGCACAAATTATATTGTCCGTGATAAGTCTACCTGGGACAAACGCGGATTGCTCCTCAGAGATGATGTCTGGTAGGACCAATTTCAACCTGTTTGCGATAACCTTCGATGCTATCTTAAACAGCACATTGCATAAACTGATCGGCCTGAACTGTGATAGGAGGTTTGGGTTAGTTACCTTAGGGATCAAGACCAATACCGTGTCATTAATTGTCTCTGGGCTTTCCTCCCCTTTCACAATTTTTAGTACTATCCTTGTTACATCCTCACCGCACACATCCCAGTGCTTCTGATAGAACAAAGCTAGGAAGCCATCTGGGCCAGGTGCCTTAGTGGGAAACATTTGAAAAAGAGTTGTTTTTACCTCATCGTTCGTGTAAGGGGCACACAAATCTGAGTTCATAGCATCGGTCACCTTTCTTGGCACTTGATCAATAACTTGCTGTATCCCTTTTACTCCTTCTGAGGTATAAAGAGTCTGATAAAAGTCATTCGCCATCGCCCTTAGTTCATTTGGATCATCCACCAAAACTCCCAGTGTTTTTCCAATGCTTTTATCATATTCTTCTTCCTTCTTAGGCTCGCACGCATGTGAAAGAATTTAGTATTCTTGTCACCGGAGGCCAGCCAATCGATACGTGCTCTCTGTCTCCACATTATCTCCTCCCTGTGGTACAACTCAATTAGTCTCTCATTAGTTTTCAGCTCAACATGCGTGGGTGCCACTCTCAGTGGGTCACCTCGTAGCTCATCCAACCCTTTTTTCAAGTCCTTTATCTCCTTCCTCACACTCCCGAATGATTGCCTGCTCCAATTTGTAAGACCAATGGACATCCGCTGCAGCTTGTCCTGTAGTTCCTGAACGTTATTGCATGTGCCGTTCACTGTCCACTCCGTTTTAACAAAGTCCTTCAGCCCCTCGTGTTTCTCCCACATTGCTTCATAGCGGAAGGTGCGTCTTTGTGGCTCTCTCTGGCCCCGCCCTAGGTCAAGTAAAATAGGGCTATGATCTGATGTTGCCGCCGTAAGATGTTCAAGAGTTGCCGCAGCGAAACGGGCCATCCAGGGTGCATTTGCAAGTGCCCGGTCTAGTCTGCATCTCGTATACGTCCCTCCAACTACTCTCTTTTCAAAAGTCCATTGTCTTCCCTTATAGCCAATGTCAATTAACATGCAAATGTCCACTGTCTCTCTGAAGGCTTGTATTTGAGCATTACTTCTCATCCCAATTCCATCGTGTTCATTTGAATGTAAAACTTTGTTGAAATCCCCTATGCACATCCATGGAAGGGAGCTAGATGTGCTAATATTTTTCAGAACGTCCCACGTCCGGTATCTCATGTGAGTCTGAGCCTCTCCATAGACACACGTCAATCTCCATGCATCATGATTTTCTTCCTGTACAGAGACATCCAGGTGGTAACGAGAGTAACCCAAAATGTCAATCTTTATTTCATTGTTCCAAAATAATCCAATTCCACCGCTCCTACCCTCGCTATCAACCGCATAAGCATTATCATATCCCAATGTAGCAGCTAAACTTTCTACCCTAGATCCTTCTATCTGAGTTTCAACGATACATAACAGGGTAGGGGCAAACTTCCTCGCGAAATCCCGAAGTTCTTGGACTGTCGCGGCGTTGCCCACACCGCGGCAGTTCCAACAAAGAGTACTCATTGGGCTCGGCGGCGCTCCTCAAAGGAGCCCGCCAAATTCTTCACCGGGATGCTTGAACTATCTCTCTCTTCTCCTTCCATCTTGGAATGCTTCGGGTCTCTTGTCGGGGGAGGTCTGACCACCGAACCCACCGGGACAATGGCTAGATTTGTTGTACTTGGCTCCCCCTGTTGCTTCCCCGACAACATAGTATTCTTTCCTGACTCCTCCCTATCCATTCGCTTTCTGCTAGGATCATCAACAGCCATATCCTCCATGCTTGGTTGCACACTTCCCTCGTGATCATCATACCTCCTGAAATCTTCACTCTCGCTTCTTGGTGTCCCTCTGTTTCCTCTACCTCGGCCTCCCCGTCGTCCGCCACGGCGACCCCGTTCTCCTCCAGGGCCTGTAGCTCGCCTCATAATCCACGAAGCACGAAGATCCTTAAAGACCAGTGCTTGAGGGGGATGGATTTCATTGCCGTGTTCCTTGAACGTATGGCCTAGATGACCACAAACTGCACACCAATCCGGCAGGCGCTCGTACTTGACCCTGTATATCTGCCTCTTCGACTCCCTCACAAGCGACACTGCATTCTTCAGAGGCCTGTGCACATTGATCTTCACCCAAACCCGATAAAAATTGCCAGCAAAATAATGCGACGACGTTTCTGCGAAAAGAACCTCTCCTACCTTGGCCGCCAGTGTCGGCACCAGATGTGCATACAGATTAGGAACGTCATGTATCTGGATCCAGATATCCAGGGTATCAAGCTTTACTTGAGATGGTTGGGTCACACCATCATACGGGGTGATGATCACAGCATGTCCACGAAAATTCCATGGTCCCTCTTCCATGACTCTTTCCCAGTCGCCGAGGCAATGGAATTGCAGTGTATAGAGATTCTCCTCCAATGGCTTGAAATTTACTACCTGAGCCAGATCCCAAGCTACTCTCACGTTTCTAAAAAACCAACTTTGGCTATAGGGTTTATCAATATGAACCCTAGCTACTGCCATCCATCTAACTGCATCTTGGGGAATAGCACCCTCATCTACCACCACATCATCCATGTCATCTTCACATAGGCCCAGCTCCGCCATCATCCTTTCTACCTCTGACGCAGATGAAGAGGCATCAGCAGTCGCCGATCCCGAGCCCATCTTCGCCGCCATAAGTCAAACCCTAGCCCGATCGTTAGAGAACTCCGGACTATCAAAACTGTGGTGCTGCCCTACTCCGAGTCGCCGTACCCCGAGAGGGCAGGGATCAGGGGACCCCGCCTCACCTCTGTGGTAGATCGACGGGAGGGAAAGAGGTAGATCTCAACGATGACGACAGAGTCGCCGCCGAGAGCAAAAAACCCTAACTCGAGGGAAGCTAGAGATTCGTTTAGAGGAGTTGGTGCGAACGTCTCTGCACCGGCTAACGTTAGTAGTAGGTTGATGTATGCAACAAGGCCTTGCCATCCTCCTCCAATAGCAACCCCTGAACCATCGTCACATCAATGTCATCAACTCCAAGCAGGGGATCGACGAGGCCAGTCCATTATCAGAGAACCCAAACCTCTGGCACCAGACCACAGACCAGATCACCCAAATCCTCTCGCACCTCTCCATCATCAAAATAAAAAAAATAAAAAAAAATAAATCCCCTCGCCACCGCCGCCGCCGCCACCTCGCCCAAATCCTCTCGCTCTCGCCCCGGTCGGCCGTTGTTCCCCACCCCCTCGCCGCCGGTGCCGCCATGCTCAGGCTGCGTAGCCGCGTCCTCGCCCATCTCCTCTCTTCTTCTCCAGCCACCTCCCCCGGATCCCCTCTTCGCCGCCTCCTCTCCGCCATTTCCCCCAACCCTAGCTTCGCCGCGCACGAGTACCTCGTCTCCACTTGCGGCCTCACGCCAGCACAGGCCGTCAAGGCCTCCGCCAAGCTCTCCCACCTCAAGTCCCCCGCCAATCCCCACGCCGTGCTCGCCTTCCTCGCCGGCCTCGGTCTCTCCGGCGCCGATGTCGCCGCCCTCGTCGCCAGGGACCCGCAGTTCCTCTGCGCCAGCGTGGAGAGAACCCTGACGCCCGTCGCCGCCGGGCTCTCTGGCCTCGGCTTATCGCGTTCCGACATCGCGCGCCTCGCCTCGCTGGCCGCCCACAAATTCCGCCAAAAAGCAATGGTCTCCAAGCTGCACTACTACTTGCGCGTCTTCGGCTCCTTAGACACCTTCCTCCGGGCCATGAAGGGCGGCCATCTCCTCTCACACAGCATCGAGAGGGTGGTCAAGCCCAATGTCGCGTACCTGCGAGAGTGTGGGTTGCAGGATTGTGATATTGCCAAGTTTTGCATCCAAAGACCAAGGATGATCATTGCCAGTCCGGAGCATGTCCAGGCGATGGTGAGATGTGCTGAAAGCATAGGTGTGCCCCGTGCCTCTGGCATGTTCAGGCATGCGCTGCATGCTGTTGCATTTCACAGCGAGGAGGAGATCGCAGCCAGGGTGGAGTATTTGAAGAAAACGTTCAGGTGGTCGGATGCCGAGGTGGGCATCGCTGTTTCTAAGGCTCCAACCATAGTTGCCATGTTTCCGGTACGGTGGGAATGAGGAACGGGAACGAGGGACGAGAGTCGATGGCTGAAAAAAAAGGGTACAACGAGGATATACATCTCTCGAACGATTTTTTTTTATAGCGGGGACGCGATCCAATCCATTTGGGTACGATGAACCCGGTACGGTACCATGTGTCAAGGAACGCAGTTCCTGAAGAACGACGACTCCTTGACGGTCAGCATTCCTTGCAATTAATGGACTGGAGGAAGAACGAGGAGTCATTGAGAAAAGAAACGACGGCGTGAGTAAATTATGCCTCGCGTTTGGGCTGGTGGATCCTCGAACCTGAATCGATGAGCAGGCTACGGGGACGCCGAATCTTCATCGAATCGTAGCGAATCCGACCTCGTTCCCGAATCCGATTCCGGGTCGATGAATCGGGATCGAGGAACGGCCTACCGTTCCCTGTTTCCGGCTACTATGGCTCCAACGGTGCTCACGAGGTCCAAGGAAACGCTGCAGCCCATGTCCGAGTTCCTCATCTCTGAGGTGGGGTTGGAACCGGCATACATTGCTCATCGGCCGGCACTGCTCACTTTCAGCCTGAAGGGCCGGCTAAGAGCCCGACACTATGTTTTAAAGTTTCTCAAGGAAAATGGATTGATAGATCATGGCCAGGACTTCTTTAATACAGTCATGGTTAGCGAGAAGGTATTTATGGAAAGGTTCATATGCCCTCACAAGGAAGCTACACCTCATCTTGCTGAAGACTATGCAACCGCTTGCAGAGGGGAAGTGCCTGCCAGATTCAGTTTTACATGAATCAAGACCGGTATGAGAATGGGTATGTTCATTATGTCGGTGTAAATCAGTAGCGAAGAAAATATCGCACTGCTATGAACTTGTTCTTCCTCGTGTCATATTAGCACACATATTGGAACTAAGAGAGTGAGACTAGGGCATCCTACAAAGAGTGAGACTAGGGCATCCTACAATTTATTTGAAGTATCGATGAGTAGTATTTCTGCACACTCTGTATCTTTTTGTTCTGAAATGGCCATTGCAGTTTTCAATGCAATCTTCCACGTATCTTTCCATGAAAGAATGTTCTCATTTTGGCCATGAAGAGGATAGAAACTTAGGAATTCCCACACTTTCTTTTCGATGAAAATTTTGGACTTCTTTTCCGCAGGAAACAATTTTGGATTGTTGTTGGCCGCAGTGTGTTGATCACTGCCAAGGATGCAGTTTTGATCACGTTTGTTGGCTTCTTTCTCTAGTTCTAAGCTGAAAACCTTTGTTCTTCCTTCAGTAGTTTTGTTTATGGATATTGACTACTGTTAAAGACGGCAAATGTTTACTAGTTTTCTGTATCAGTTTATTTGTTTACTTGTCTCGCGTATTTTTGGATGGTCTACTGGCTGATTCTTTTCTTGGGGCATCTGATCTCGAAACTGGATAGTTTAGTAGGGGCTAGTAGCATTTCTGTTGATTGGCAATTTGTATATCACTACGTAGCAGATATTTCAAGTGCCCTGGTATTCGTACCAGAGAAGCAAATTGACGCTTGTATGGTATGGTGCTGAAAAGCAAAGGGCTTTCTTTCTTTCAGGTGAAAATGTGCTGAAACTGGATGTACATGGTGTTTTTCTTTCTTCTTCCAGGAAACAAAATGAAACATGGCGGCTATGGCTTTGCTGTGATGTATATTAATCTGAAGGCCCTGAAGCTTCAGTGACAAGTATGCCTTTGATGATGTCTCTTTTCTGAATTTTGCAAGTTAAGTAACCCTTCTAGTATTGTACTGTAGATTTCAATAAACTAGTAGCATCTGGTGCTTAAGTAGTACCAGACGCCGAGCGAGTCGACGGCAATCTGCGCATCCTGGAGGTTGCCGGTGAGGACGGTGATCATGCCGAGGTACCAAATCTCAAGGCAGAGCATGACGGCGGACTCGAGCGAGAGCTTGACGAACGCCTACATGTCGTTGAATGCTGCCATGGACCAGCCCCTCCAGCCGTCCTTGCACCAGCCGATGATGTAGGCGGACTGACCCAGCGCGATGGCCCAGAGTGAGAGGTCGTAGGCGGCGGCGGCGCCTGGGGTGCCCCATCCGAGGACGGTGACGAGGAGGTAGGTGAGCGCGACATGGAAGCAGAGGCTAGCGACGCCGACCCAGGCGAGCACCAGGACCTTGCTCTCCGCCTGCAAAAACTTGCCAGTGGGGAAGTTGACGGCGAAGGAGAAGGCACCGGGGAGGATCTAGAGCGCGAAGCGGGCGGCCTCGCGCGCGAGAACGGGGTCCTGGCCGACGGCGAGGAGGAGTGGCTCGGCGAAGACGTAGAAGGGCACCATGAGGAGCGCGGCGGCGATGAGGACAATCCAGGAGCGCTGCATGTAGACGCCCAGCATAGCCACCTGGCCGGCGCCGAACGCCTGCCCGCACAGCGTCTCCAAAGCGCTCCCCATGCCGAGCTACATGCACGAGCGCGCATCAGCATCCCATTGTTAGATTGTGGACACAAATGAAGCCTTCTCAGGCCATATGCACTTTGGACCGTCCGATTGGGCGTCCAAACGCATCCGGACCGTTGGATCTTCAGGTGAGCTGATCACGGCCGTCGGATCTTCATGTGAGCCGATCCTGGCGGTCCGGTTGCTATTGACACTGCTACAATGAATAGTAGCTCGTGCCACCGCCTGTAAATCTCGTGCCCCACTGAGGGTATTTTCGTCTTTTCACACTCGGGCATATAAAATGCAGCACGCCGTGTGTAACCCTAGCTGCCTCTGTCCTTTCCCACTCCTCAGCCCTCGCCCTCGCCCCGACTCCCCTCCTCTCCTCCCGTCGCCGTCGCCCACCAGCCATCCTCCCAGCCCGCCGCCGCCTCACTCTCCTCCCTCCTTATCCTGCGCCGCTGCTCTCCTCCCTCCTCCCCCTCGTGCCACGACCACTCCATCTCCTTGAGCTCCCCATTCCCCTTCCCCACCCCATCACCTTTGCCGGTGGATCCCGGCGAGGAGGAGCAGCCAATTTCTGCCGGTGCCTCCCCCCAATCCGCAGCACGACCACCAGAGCCCACGTCTCTGGTGAGGTGAGCCACGGCGGCCACGCGCCTGCGCCGGCGCCCGCGGCTGACACGTCCCCGAGCATCTCCTCAGCGTCTCTGGATCCGCCTCTTCTTGCCCCGCCGTCGTTCCTCAGGTGCTGCTCGCCTCATCCCCCTCGCGCCTCCACCCCCTAGCCTCCCCTTCTCCTCCTCCCGTCCTCTCCTCTACCGCTCGGTCGCCGTGCCCGTGCTGCTCAACCCCCGCCGCCCCATCGGCTGCTCTGTCGCCGTTCATGGCATCCGGGAGGCACGCGGCCGTGCCCCCTCCCGTCGTGCCGTAGAGGGAAGGAGCCAGGCGGAGCGCGCCGTCGCCACTGGCTAGCGCGTCGACGGGAGGAGGCCAGGGTTAGGGTGCTCTCCTCCCCGCGCTTGCGGATCTCCTGGCGCCGCAGGCTGCCGGAACTGAAGCTTCTCCTCACGCCGCCAGCTGCCGGGCTCGGATCTCCTCCACTTTGCATCGCCTGCTGATGGACTGAGAGCTCATCCACCTTGCGCCCCCGAGCACTACTACTTCCTCCTGCCTCGATCTGCTCCTGCCACCTCCTGGTGAGCTCTCTTCCTTCTGGTGCGAGGTGGAGTTGCTCGCTATGTTGCTCTGCTGCTGCTGCTGCTGTGGAGCCTACTGGTGGTGTTGATTATTGCTGCTACTGTCGTGTGCCCCCGCAAGCTGCTGCTCCTATCTGTGCACTTGTGCTGATGCTAATGTGTGGTGTTGGTCTACTGAGTACTAAACTACTAATTGCTGCTTGTGTAACTTGTGTTGTCAGTTGGTTTCTAGCTATCGATTTGTCGTCTGCTGATTGTAGCCTTGTACTACTGATCTGTTCTTGCCTTGGACCTTTTGTTGTGTAGGCTTGTAGTGATTTGTTCTGATGGCATGGTTATTTATCGCTTTATTTTCTGAATAAATATACCCTGCTTTCTCAAAGGTTGCCAACTTTTTTAGGTTAAAGAGTTGGAGCACGGCTTGCATTGAGGATGTCTTTGTTTGGTACTCATGACAGCTCCTGGATCAACTACATAGTAGAGCAGCTTAACGTTGCATCCGATAAATTGTGCTACGCTTATCAGGTATATTCTATATTTATGTCCTTAGTCTCTTGCTTTGTTATATTTTAAAGAAAATAATAATCATAGTTCAGTATTCACAGCTTATGCACGGATTAAGGGATTAATTGATCTTTCTCCCATCTGTCCTAATTGCTAATTCACTATAATCTTAATGTGCAGATTGGTGCAGGAGCAAATTATTTCAAGGAAAATAAATCCAGTCATTGTAATGGCGGTTTTAGAAGAGATGCTAAAGTTAATTCAAGAGATTTGAGATGTGCTTATGTTCTATGATTTTTCATTCAAGAGGGGAAGATAAAGAGGGGGAAAGATGAAGAGGAAAAGTGGAAGAAGGATAGCAACTATGTGCCTGCTGTAACCGACTCTTCCTCACCTGACTACTATAACGCAGGCAGTTTCTTATAAGCGGAAGAGGTAGGCACAATGGGCAATATAGCGCAGATGATGTCACTTTCTAATAAGATGGATTTGTGGTATGTTGAATTCTGTTTCCTTAGTTTGCATAAATCATGTTACATTCTTATATACATGTTTAGACTGTGATTGACAGCCTGACCAAGCTTAGCTCTGTAGAAACCTGAGAATAAATTAATTGTTTTGTACAACTTTTAATTTAATGGTTGTGTAAGATAAATCTGGTTTATCATATGACCAAGCTTAGTTCCCTATGATTTATTTTAAATAACATCATGCCTAAATACTTGGTATTTTTTGATGTTTTACTTTCACCCATGGCAAAGTAATAAAGGATGCATGCATTGTTTTATTTTATGATGTAGGGCCAAATATAAGGGCCTTTTGCTTTTGTACTTTTTTTATTGCCCAACAAGTGATATTTTAAGTGTTCTGTACTAATTATTTATGCCGGCCCAA